ATGGTTGAACATTCTGTGCAAAATAGAGTATCAGGGTGTACCAGAGGAAAAATTTAGTTGTGTAGTCATCAGCCACAGCTGCTTTGTCCACTGTTGCAGTGTCTTTGTGTGTCTGTGTGTCATGAGAAAGCCCATGGGGAACAGTCCTTCTCCAATTGTACAGTCTGACCACAGACTGCGGAGCCCATTGAGGATACATCTCGAGGCGGGTCTGGACGAGCCAAAATCAATCATCCACCATGCTCACCACGCTAGAGGATGAGAGCCAGATAGAGACAGAGCTAGGGTGTGATCCAGACATGGTGTGAGCAGGCCACACTGGGACGGCGTTTGTCCATTGGTAGGAGGCGTTGAACTGCCAGGTGTTGGCGTCGTGCTGATGCAGCTGCCGCGGGGGCTGACAGCGACGAGGACGAGATTTCTATCCTGAATGTTGAACGAGCCAAATGGAGAGGTAGCTCTGATCTGTCTCTCCCTCTATCTTTTTTTCTCTACAATGCTTCTGCAAGTAAAGCCCTGCTTAAGTAAAACCTACCCAACACAACTCGCCTCCACTCACTCAGCAAACATGTTTCTTCCCTTCTCCCTTGCTCTGACAATAAAAGCCCTGCTCCATCCATCATATTTCATTGTTCCACCCCTCCCATATCCCTCACATATCGTTTTCACTTCTATCGATCAAACCTCTAATTGTTAGCTCGAGTGAGCGACAGCAGTGGACACTGGAAAGCAAGAAAAATAGAGCAGGAATGAAAGAAAATATCAAAATGGACAAATGAACTCATCCCGCTGAGGAACTTGGCACTTTGGCAGGGGTTATTGTCTTGTAAGAAGCTGAGGGCTTGGAATAATTCAGTAGGAAATCAATTTTCATCGGACCATTCATACATAATGGAGGTGATGGACTGTGGAAGCGAGGTTCGACCTCTCTTGCTTTTGGCCTGCCTGTTGAGGCCTTTTTGTTTCACTTATCCACTATCTTTCATTTGCCATTTCCCTCTTTTTTCATGGTCATATGGGCATTATTGGTCCAGTGGTCAAAGAGTCTATTCATTTGGATTTTAACTGCACTTTCGCCGACAATACCATAAGATGACAATAGAAATGGCTAAACAATGAACTATGGCAAAAAGGAGCTGGAGTAGTGTGAGGTAGAATCCTGCAGGATAGAGACATATTTCAAAAGGAAGAGGGTATGAGAAGCCATGAGATGATGAGTGATCACAGCTTAATATCTAACCAGAGGCTACAGACAAGGCAGTGCACACTGTCAGATCAAGCCTTCAAGTATGATCAATATGGCAGTAAGAATACTTGGATTTCCTCAAATAGAAGCCATTCGAAAGAGTGATTGTAGGCTTTACAGATGAATAAGTTGGAAATGAATAATGCTTCTCAGTTTTTGAAGGAATAAGTACACAACTCCACACAAACCTACAGATTACAATAACCAAAAAATTTTTGTTATTTAAGTAAGGAACAAAACATAATGGGAACATGAAATAATAGAAAAAATGATCAAAAAACGGTGTTGTGATTCGCCTATAAAGTTGATTATTCGATTATAACAGCACATCCCAAGGTGTTTTATTCCTCTTATACCACATGAATTTGCCAAACATTATTGTATTTTTATTAAATAAAGAACATTGCATACGTTTTATCCATTTACAGTTATATTCATTGTTACTGAACATCCATGAAACAAGTTAGTTCCTGTTATTCATTATGTTATAACAGCTATAGCCATTCCCTCCCCAGCCTCTCTTTTTCTCTTACTCTTGAAATCAATTAAAAACAAAACAAAACAAACAAACACACACAAAACAAAAACGCTAAGCCCTCCGTCTTGGAGCCTTACAGCTTCACCTCTGACTGCAAAGCACTGACACTGGAGACTCCTTCCAAAAATGCTAAATAAGAGGGTGTTCTCAGCATCTCTTTCACCATAGAACGCTTCACCATATCAACAATTACACACGTTTTTAAAATCTATTTATGTATCTTACATTTAAAATTACAAGTTCCTGTGTAAATTGATACTATAGAAACAACAATGCATTAATATAAACCTCACAGCTAGAACTGTCTGAGCGGTGTTAGAAAATTAATCAACACCTTCTGACCAATCAGATTTGAGCATTCAACAGTGCTGTGGTATAAGGAATTTTAAAAGTACTGTTTGTTAGTTCAATGTTTTCCATCATTTTGACAGGTAAAACATAAGGCATCCATTATCCATAATCACACAACAAAGAATGTTAATAAGGTTTACTGAACACGGTCTTCGTAGCATGGACTCACATCGGGTTATATTCAACTCTCACGCTCACCATCATTCATTTCACTTTATTCACACTTTGAAACATACGTGTCAACGTGTTAATTAAAACCTACAGTTCCCTTCTGAAGAAATATAGTGACAAATATATTATAAGCTTAGTTAACTCTTTTTATGGTTCGCGCTCCATCCAGCTGGTCTTTATTGTGCACAATTATGGTTACTGCCCTATGACTAAATGTAAATATTCATATTCTGGCCTGTGTGACATGTTTGTACTGATCAAAGACGTAATGTGGGCATGCAATTAGGTTCTACTCAGCTAACGCAATGTCACATCAGCTTAGAGTGATGTTTCTTCAACAGGCTGAAGAGTAATGCTGACACTTATAAAAGAAGTGAAAATGACCAGTTGCAGCTGTCTGGAGCACAGTAGAAGTGGGAATGTAATTATTTCAGGCATTTGTTATAAAGTCTTTTGTTAACAGGTTGAATTAATATATAAAGACCTCAGAAAAATTGTAAGGCTCTCTCTGACTTAATCTGTGATTTTAAAATATTGAGCCATAAAGATTTGAGCCTTTACATCTTTTATACTTTTATCTTTGGTGTAAAACTTATTCAGTGTCATGTAAATATCATATTTACAACATCAAACTCCTACTCCAAAATTTCCTGCTCAAAGGCAGGTAGAATCTCATGCCAAGGTCTTGTATTTTTTCTACCTTCCATTTTACGCTTTGCCAAGTCAAGACAATTACAAATTTAGGCTATGTTTATAAAAGGTGCAAACTAGGTAGAAGTTATAACAGCTATATCTACATTATACTTATGTTATAAAGGTTATAAAGAGTCATTCCCTTACCAGGTTCTCTTTCGAAGTTAATACGAAAAAAAAACGCAGTTTGCCATTTTACCAATAAACTACAAAGTCCGCTGTTGGAAAACATAAAGTTTCAGCTTTTACCTCAGACTGTAACAAAGTGCTATCACTGGAGACTCCTTCCAAAAGAACTAAATTCAAGTCTCTTCACAGAAAACTTCACCATATCAACAATTTGAACTGTTACTATAGAAACGACAACATTAGAATGAGCGCCTTAATATAAACGTGTGATTTGTCTTTCAGCTGGCACTACTGTCAGGGATTCTGTTATAGAAAATTAATCAACATCTACTGACCAATCAGAATCGAGCATTCAACAGCATTGTGGTATAATACTGCTTAAGTATGATCAAAGTGACCTTCAGAGTGGCAGGGTTACTCATTATGTTTAGCTATGAATAAGAAAAATAGGCTATAAGGATGTGCAAATGTAGTCAAAGTAAGCCTACGAGTCTCATTTTTTATCATTTCATGAATTTTAATATTAGTGTGCCAATATAAACATTAAAACATACACAAACATAAATGCAGTGCAGTATGTCTACATAAATACTGTTACATGAAAACAAATTTTGACTAAGACAATATTTATAAGCCTGTCCAACACAGTGACAGATGATCAATCATTCGAGCACAACTCCTGGTTTGTTAGACATCTGAGATTCTGCAGTTTCTGCACTAACAACCACGCTCTCCGCAGGGTTCGGATAAATAGAAGCCTTACAAGCTTCTATCACATAACAGAGTTATGAAAATGGGAACAGACAGACAGAGTGAAAAAAGTTGCTGTGAGGTCTTGCAATGAGCACAAATCTCTGTCATTACAGCAATCTGATTCTCCTTTCTGAGAAAATGAGCGAACGAGACAGGCTGGCGATAGCAGCAATAATGAGGGCAGCCACTCTTTATATGTTCGGCTAAATGTTTAATGTGTTGTGTTGATGAGCAGCAATCTCCCTCTCGTTCTCATTCTTTCTCTTTGGTCCTTGGATAGTCTGTACAGTGCGAGTCCTACCTCAAACTTCTGTACACCAATTATACTGCCATGTGACAGCACAGCCAATAGCACCAATTACCTCCATCAGTCCCTGATACACACCTCCACCAAAAGCACACACCAAGCTGTGCACTCCATCTCTGCCAAAACATATTGCTTCTTAATGGACAAAATAGCAAACCCTTTGCTCTGGCTTTTCTCTGTGTCTTCTCCCTTCTACAAGACGTGTGAAACATAAAATAATGGCACTTTAATAGGCTTTCCTCGAATTTCCTCAAACGAGTGGTGCATGCTGAGCATACAATCATTTAGCCTAGAGTGTGCGTAATTGTCAAGAGCATCTGATAATGTCGTCTAGTTATATTTTATTCTATTAAGGATTTTGCAATTGAAATTAACAGTGGAAATCTTTTGTTCAGGTTCAGCTGGAATGTGTTTATCTCAATTAGTGAGCAATAATCAGTTTTGGAATGAGCACCGATTTGCCTCAAGGTTCAATTCATAAAGTACACAGAAATAAAGAAAAAAATCCCTAACCAACTGATCTAATTTGCTGTAGCATGGATTGTGTCTTCATTTAAACTGTAACAGGAATGTGCTGGTGAAGAAATATGGTGTGAAACCTGCAGATTTCAAGTATCATCTTCTAAGGCTGAATGCAGCAAAACTAAGGAAAAGTGATTTGTCATGTTTGTGTCTCCACTAGGAATGTAACGCAATAATATCTGTGTGGTGTCTGTTTAATGCGCCTAATCAGTGGGTGTGGTCTATGCTGGAAAGTTTTTGCTTGGTTTTTTTTATTTATTTTTTTTGAAATAAATGTGAACCCTACTGGGGGCACAGTGGCTTAGTGGTTAGCACGTTTGCCTCACGCCTCAGGGGTGGGGGGTTCGAATCCTGCCTCCCTCCTGTGTGCGCTGGTGGTTTCTTCCCCAGTCCAAAGACATGCATTGTAGGCTAACTGGCATTTCCAAATTGTCTGTAATGTGTGAGTGTGCCCTGTGATGGGTTGGCCCTCTGCCCAGGGTGTACCCTGAGTTCTGTGCAACCATGTGTAGGATAAGCAGTATGGAAATGGATAGATAAATCACTATAAATCACTACCACACTGAAAAACACTAGGGGAAAACCCAGAGGTAAAAATGGCATGTGAATTCTGGCTCTGATAGTTCCTCAACCTCAGCTACATCACTCAAGTTCATATTGCTCTCAACTTCAGATGTGCACAGGACTGGTTTTTAAAAGTTATTCTTTTTTGTTCGTACCTGCCTACAATATGTTCTAAAGAATTTATTTTCCCAAAGTACAACCAAGCTAATAGTCTAATTTAAAGCACTGTGATCCTGGCTAGGCAGTAACTAAGGATAAATGAATGAATGCTGTATGTTCAGGTTAAATAAACGTGGTCTTTGTTTTTCCTGCCAGCCTTATATCTAACAGCTCATTTGCATCTGCATGAAAATAAAGACTTCCTGCTCAAGTGACTTTTCTGTTGCATCCCATGGGATCCCAGTTCTGATATACACCACAATGCTTAACCTGATGTCCTGTGAATCATCGTGGGCAAAAAACAAAGAGTGCACCTCCTATTCGTATCTGTTCAGAATATATTCATACTCTGACACATCCCTAGTCCCCATTGGCCATATTTTCTAAATGAAACCCACTGGCTTTAACCATTGATGGTTTGAAGCAACAACCCAAATAAACTGTCATTCCTGTACAAGGAGTGTTTATGATCCAGTCCTTTGCCTCAACAAGAAGCATATCTAGTGCCTGTTTAATGTTACTAATGTCATGCTGGTGCTTCTACTCTCAGATTTATGAGAATGATTCCATTAGTGCAAAGCCATTCCATGCTCATGAACAATCATATCTACCATATGTTCCCCATCTATTCTCTGCACTGACAAAAAGAGGGTGTTCTCGGCATCGTTGGGTAACTCAGCATGACAGCCCAAAACATGTCAACATCTGAATTAATCAGCATCAGTGCCGTGATTGGGATTGTAAAGTAGATGATGGGAAGAGATTCTGATGGGTGTAGCAGCTCAGCGTGATTTTGTGTCAATTTTTCACTGCAGATTTTAAATGCTCTTGAAGGCACTAAGTACTGTCTTTCACGCAGTTACACCATTATGAAAAAGGCTGGCGGTAAAATGGTACCGTGTTTCTATTCATTTGTGCCGGAGTGAGTAGGTATTGAGTAGTGCTTTAAATGGCTAATGAGCCAATACGCAAGGGCTAATGAAGTTCTGACCTAATCTGCCCTGCTCTGCTGTTACCAAGGATTTTGTTACAGGATCAGGGAGGGGCAGTGGGTTTGTGGTTTGAAGAGTGTGTTCATTGTCAGAAGGGGGAAGGGTGGATGAAGTCAGGGTGGGCGTCTGCATGTGTCTGAGGCTGTTAGCGCAATTCCCCTTACGCCTGCCTGCAGCCCATCATCTTTGGCTAATAGAGACCTCTACCCTGCTGACCCGGTTCCCCCAGAGTGTACCACACACAACCCAACAAAGGAGCCAAGAATTGGGGGGTTGGGGGGGGTCAGACATTAAACAGCAAAGCTGAGCAGCACAGAGGTAGGACATTAGACAGGGTGAAAATGTGGATGATATGTGGTGCATTATAATCCATTAATCATGGGCGTCTGCCCACCAGCCACCAGATGGGACCCCCACTTAGCACTGGCCTTGTCCTGTCCTGGTTGAATAAAAAATAGATCATATTAGTGTGACCCAGCTCACCCCCTGTGAAGAATCCAGACTTCTGGGTATCACTCATCTGGCACAAAGCACCTTATCTCTTAATACCACTGTACGAAGTGGGCTTTCACATGAACAATAAACAAGATACACAATCAATAACCCACTCACTGGATTAAGCCGGTTGATTTTTTTTTCCCATCTCTTCACTGGCAATGCATGTCTCCTTCACGTGGGTGGTTTTACAGTATGTAGGTGTGTGCGTATCTATTTGTGTGTCTGTGGGCAAAGTTTATGGCTCATGCTCTAAAATAGTTTACTCGACCTCGAAAGGACTTCGTTTTTGTTGTTAAGTACTCAGAGCAGTAATAAAAATCTGTAAAAGCCCTGCTGTGGAGTATCTCTCGTTGATACATGTACCCCACCTGCTGGATTGGCTTTCCAATGACACTCAGGAAGCCTCTGGAGCAGCACTGGGTAAATACAGAGAGCTGGCCTCATTACAGGGATCATTAACTTGATGAATATCATGAGGGAAAAAAATGCCTCTTAACTAGCCCAATTCATTTCAGGCTAGTATTGACTGTTCTGCCTTGCTACACACCATAACAGTTCTGAAAAGCTCAGCATATTTTTCCTTAAACTAATAATAATACACAAAGTGGAGTTTCTGCAGTCACGTCTCATAAAGTATATTTCCTGAAATGTCTACATTTATAGTTGTTTGGGAGATGCAAAACACAGCCTTGTTTCCTCTCACCACCCAGAATTATGCGGGTTGAGTGGTAGATTGGCTATCCTTAGGTGGGAATGAGTGTATGAATGTATATGCATGTTTCCCTGCAATGGATTGACGTCCCATCTAGGATGTATTCCCATTTCACATCCATCATACCCGGGCTCCAGATCCCCTGTGACTCTGACCAGGATAAAGTGCTTACTGAAGATGAACGACTCAATGATAAATGAACTGACAGACACTGAAAATGATTAGGATGCATTCATATCATATGTAGGTAACCTTAATTACCACCTGTTGTCTAGGAAAAACATTCACATCAGCCGCTTAGTGGTAATTTCTGGATGCTTTCTGCCAGTCTCAATTTCTCCAATCAAACCTGTGAGTGAGGCAACTAGCATGGCTTTCATTATAGCTGCCAAACAAAAATGCCATGCTTTCAAGGTAGTAAAATCACATAGTATTGGTTTTAGCTTACATTTCAATGTATAATTAATGATAACCAATAAACTGTACTCTCTGCTTCAGTTGTGTTAAAGATTAGGAAGAGATTTGCTAATGTTTAACACAGCTACTGTATATGCTAAATCTAGCTAATGTTAGATAACAACTACAACTCTCATTTTTATCTTATAAATAAATGTTCGTGCATGGAGATATTTGATCTGGGATAATGGGACGTTTTCTGTGCTTTCTAAATTCTTTGATTATAACTTCAATGTTGTGTTAGCACATGCTAATTATACCACTTTCTGAGGTAAAAATATTCACAGGAAGCTTACAGCCTCTAGTGTTGGATTGTCGATCCAAATATTACGAAGCTCAGCATTGTTTTCTTTCGGTAGTGTGCCTGGCTTTAGGAACATCTGGCACTGAATTCTCACAGACACACTTCAGCATGTTGTCATAGGCAAGTGTGAAAGACACAAGGAGACAGGCATGACTGGGCAGACGAGTGTAGCCGAAACCTCAGGCAGGCGTGAGCTACACTGAGTCCAGATGAGATCAGGGTACAAATACACACCTTGCCAGGACACCTACTAGTATATTTACCTGCATGCACATGTTCACACACACACATTTTTTTGCCTTGTAGCAGCCACAGTTTTGTAACAGCTTTGCCTTGGTATATTTCACATCATCTGCAAAAGAAACTCACTGATGTTTTAGAAAGGAGAGAGCCCCTATTCATCCTCTGATCTTATCATACAATACGCCTTTTTAATAAATGTTTACTGTATACTGAGGACTTAATAACATTCCTTTCATTGGAGTTTTGGCAGTGGCAAGTTCACACAAGAGAAACCTCTTCTTTTTAACAACATCTAATGTTGAGTCCAAGGTATGCAGAACACTGACCTGAACTGAACCCATTTCAAGTGTGTGAGACGTGGAGAGAAAGTTCAACAATCATGAACAGGCCAACCAAAGGTGGTGCACAAATAGGCAAAACCAGTGATGACCACTAGATGGCAGCGTGTCATCTCAGGAGAACAGAACTCTACAGCACATCCCTTTGACAGTATGTGTAGCCTACAGACTTCTTCCTTACCTGGCAGGCAGACAAACAAGTTAATGTGAGTTCAGGCTCACAGCCTATGTTTCCCGTAGCTCTATAATTTACTATAAATGCACTGCTCAGTGCGGCTATTTTATTACAATATCCTCTTTGAGTAACTCTTGAGTAACTTTGTAAACAGGTGTTCTTTACTGGAATAGAAAGATCTGTGGTGCTTATACACTGTGTAAGAGCTTATCTGTATGTGTTCATGATGAAGGAGGCAGGCTCCAGCAGGCCCTGCACTGAATCCTCACTCCCACTGGAGTCCTAACTATGCCATTATGGAATTCTGATGTCCAGGAATGTGCTACTCATCTCATTCCAGAGACTATGGTAGGCATATAGGTCAGTTTCAATTGACAATGCTCAGAAATTTGGTTGTCACCATCCCACCCTCTCTAACAGAATTAAACAGTTACGGCTTTGTATCTTGCTTAAAGGAGTACTCGGTCTACTCCTTTTCAAAATAATCTCTATCTGCTTTATCAGTAGCATATGAACAATGACAACTGACATTTTTGTCTGTACTGAAACTTGAGTTTACTCAAAACACATTTATAATTAAAGTCTAAGGGCACTTGTGGAATTTTGTCAATTAATATTTAAAATATGCAACTATAAAACTGATGCATTATAAAAAATTCCATTTACGTATACTTTCCCGAAGCTTTTTAAAACATCGCCTGGCTTTTTCCAATCTTCAGCTGTCCAGTTTCGTTGCGCTTGTGCTCACTGTAGCTTCAGATTCCTGTTTTTGGCTGATAGGAGAGGAAACTGATGTGGTCTACTGCTGATGTAGCCCATCTGAGACAAAGCTCGACATGTAGTGCATTCTGAGATACTTTTCTGCACATCATGGTTGTAAAGAGTGTTTATTTGAGCTACTGTAGCCTTCCTGTCAGCTCCAAATAGTT